TTGTAATTCAATATCTGAATCTGTGGTCTGCTGTGTGGGTCGAGGAATCTGGTATAATGGTGGCTTATGCTGTAACAATTTTCTAATATGGATTTCGAGCGTTACGGTTGATGACTAGCCTATGCAGCAATGTGAATCTGAAAACGAATATGTTCCCTGACTGCAGCCGAGTGAAGTGTAGGTGCAGTAGGGAGAAAAAAGACAGCGAAAGCAAACAAGTTGGACACAAAAAACACTTTAATCGCTTTAATTTTGCAGCATCTTGGGTTTGTACCAAATGGCAAGAGAGAGTCAACTAATCTTGGAAGCTGTGTGTGTAAATGTTTGAAATGCATTCCCATCTCAGAATCAAGCCTCTTTTAACTACTGGTTGTGTTCATCAAATAAACCCTCACACATGGACATCAATAAACGTGTTTGAGCAACAAATAAACTACGTGGAAAACATAAAAACATGCAATTATGTTTTTAACACTGTATATGTGTAAAAGGTTTGAAGGTTAAAATATTGGATGTCAACCGCCCCCCGACAATCCATAAGCACTTGATCACTGGATGCAACTGCCATTAAATTGTGACATTTAAAAATATGAGCATTTTGCTGTAGTTTATTCTCCCCCCCACCCCCCCTCCCATCTTGTGATTACACAAGCCATTTTGATTTACACTGATTCTACTGGCTGTTTTGATTTGCAATGGCATGTCAGTGAGGGATAAAACACTGTAAACCTTGAAAATGTGCGGTATGCATGGTATGCCTCTTGGTCTGCTACAAACAGGAGTATCCCTGGGACATGTGCATTCATGTAAAAATGAAAATACCCCAACAATGTTATAATTACTACACTAATTGTTAGATCAATTCTAAAAGTTGTTCAGCGATTCAAAAGACCTCAATGGTCTATTATTAACTTGGATTTTATTTTGTCCTTACACTTTATGTTTTGTTTTGCCTACAAGCTGAAACCAGCTCCCATTATCATGAATGCAGCGGCTAATGGCAGCTGTGGAAAACAATTAGCGTCAAATGTTTGCTTCCTGTAGTAGTGAGGGACTCCCTGAGGGTGAAAGCTTCAAACAGGCAGAGGCAGCAACGAAGAAATCACAACAGCAATGAACCGAGGCTTGGAGATAATTCAACACCATCATTTATCAACTTTCTGTGGAATCACAGATTGATCTTACGAATAAGTTGTGTTCTTTGTTTAAAACTGTTTCCAAAATGTGATTTTAAGAATGCTGTGATCATCACAATGAATGAATGATGGTTATTTTGCACACATTTGCCATATCATGATACAGATAATGGATTTTATTTGAACAGTGCTTTAGTACACTTTTAATAAATAGGAGGATTTTAGCGAAATATAATGTATTTAATCCTGCTGTTTAATTATTATCATTTACCAATATAGCAACAACAGCTTTACTCAAGTCCACAGAATTGGATTTACTAGCATATGAAGAGGTAAGACAACAGCCCCACTTTGTAGTGAGCTTTCTGATGAAATTCACTCTTCCTTTTTTAAAAGTAAGTCACAGTCTCTCCTCTATTCCAGCGTCTTTAAAAGCCCTGGCACTACTTAAAAGGAATGAGCTGTAACACAATAGCAACAGTCAGTCAGGCACTGGCAAGGAGAAAGAACTGAAATCCCTCCACTCCCCGAGCCGGACATCAGCAGCAATGCAGAGCGGCGGCTGTGCTCTTTTATTCAAGTGCAGCCTTTCCTTTCTCTCCCCCCCTTTCAAAGTAACATTGCCAATGTAATTTTCCATGAGAGCTGCTCCATTTATCAGGGCCACTGGCACATAGAGGCAGCTGACGAATGCCTTACTCCTCTAGATTTGTATAATGAGAGGTGGGAGAGTGAGACGCACTCAGAGGTGGTTAGCACTTGTACGGAGGAAGTAGAGATGATTTATTCAGCATCCGAGAGCCAATGCTTTGGGGAGCTTTAACTTAGGACACAGACAATGTAGCCACGCTATTACACCTCCACCGTGGAGAACAAGACACCTGGTGAGACACATACTGATTAATGCTTGAATTACACTGGACATGGGACAGCGAGTTCTTTTAAATCAACAGTCAAGCTGTAATGAGGCTGACAAAATTCACAAAGCTACTTCCCAACATCTTAAATCAGGCTGTTTTGGTGTATTACTCAATTCAGCTACTCATAATAATGCATAGTATCTACAGAAAAAAAATGCTACCTGTCACATCACTGAGAAATAAGGTAACAAGTTCAATGTGCAGATTAAATTCTGTTCTGAATTGACATTTTACTGGTCACAAGAACTAAACATAAAGAAAGCTACACAATTACAGTGGACCCTGTCACAAGGCACTGATAGGAAGTAGAAGTAAGTCATGTTCATGTTTCTTTCCATCAGATTCAGTATGAATTTCACAATTTGTGCAGATTGCCAAAAAACATGTAGCCTGCGGACACTGAACGCTAGCTACTGTGGCTAGTGTGCGATGAAGAAAATGTGATTCTACAGACACGTCTGTGACACAAAGCAGTCGTGTGAAATGCTCATTCTAGGCATGGGGATTATGTTTCTGGCTGATATTATGGTGAAGTCTGATGACTGATGAGGTGCGGTTCTTCTGTCAGCCCACATGGCTGCGAAACTAAGTTCTGCCGTTTGCTTTTATTACTGTTGCCAGTGGGAATATCTGTTACAGAGCCAACTGGGTTTCTGTTCAAAGGGCATGTGAAATACTGTATGCTAGCTAATTGTAACTGTACATTTTGAGAAGTGCTATCTAACACTTGTCACTCCTAACGAGCAACCTGTCAAAAGGAGTCTCCCAAGGCCCCCCCCGGGAAAAGTACTTGTTGGCTGTGATTTTTGCATAGTGGCCACAGCTGGAACTGCAGCTCATTACAAAAGAGTGTAACAGAAAACAGAAATAACTTGTTATATTATCACAATTTCAGACATTGGGCTACATACACAAAGAGCCTAATCAACACATTATATTGTATATTGTATGTATATTTCAGCTGTTATGCACCTCAACACCACAAGAGAAATTCCTTAAATGTGAAAACCAACTTGGCTTCTTTGTGATTCTGGTGAGCAATCTTCTTAAAAACATGGCATCTGGTTCTTTGACAACATCAAGGATGTCCTCAATTCCCTACAGCTCACTTCCTTGCAATGTCTAACTCATCCTTAACCTTTTGCGTTTTACCAGTCCGGAAAATTATAAGGATGTGGTCCTTCAAATGTGCAAGAGTAGGTATTATCAACCACAATGGTGTGGACACCAGCTGTGGATATAACCTTACTATTGCTGTGCTTGATCCTACTCCGTATCTTTTCCTTAAGTGATTAAATGTTTATAGATATATATATATATATACACACACACACACACACACACACACACACACACACACACACACACACACAAAAAACACACACACACACACACACACACACACACACACACACACACACACACACACACACACACACACACTGTATGTATGCTGATTTCTTAAGGCACCTTTACCACATCCATTAAGTGGGATTGCCAACGTAAAAACTGCTCTTCAAACCAACGCTGGTTTGAAGAGCAGAGGACATAATTATGTCCATTTTCATCACTATTTCAAGGATACCTTTCACCAGCTAGCTATAAAACAGTTTTGACCTCTCTCTTTTATTTAGTGCCGTCAACCAAATCATGTGGTTCTCCCTCAAAAGCCTTTTCATGCTAAATACATTATGATTACAAAGACTCTCCAGAAATGTCCTTTCATAGCAGTCAGCCCAAGGAGACTCTACAGCTTGTGTTCATGACTGGGTGTCCTGGCTTTAAGGAATCAAACAGGCTTCCTCGCAGCCCATCCCCCATGCCACTTCCAGAGCAGCAGGAAAAACGACGAAGGCGTGCTTTGCACCAGCTCCCTCCCCCCACACACTGCTCCACCAGGCATTGCTGGGGCTTGTGGGATTAAGAATGGAACACGATGACAGACAAAAACAGTCCTCAGCACCTCCCTGTTCTGCTGTCTTTTATACTGCCAGAGCATGAAAAGGCTGCTATGAGGCATACAATAGGCACAGTGATAGATCAACTCTATGAGTGAACAAGATAAGTGTGGGTGAATAGATACACAAATCTTTATATTGTTCTTGCAAGATAATGTCAGCGTTGAAATTTGCGAGAGGAGAAATAAGTGGAACACGATGTGACATTTACTTAACTTCACAGACGTAATGTGATGTATATGGCTGACAATGTCTATTATATTCTTGTCTGATTTGGTTTTACTGGCTAATGTATAGTACATAACACTTGATGTTGACTGGTACTAATTTTTAATGCTGCATAAGAAATGTGTAAAACATGAAGGCACTTACGCATCCTCCAAACGAATTAAGCCTCTACCGTAATGAAAAAAAAAAAAACACCACCACTGTGTGGGCCGTTTCCTGTAGCTGGTATCATATTTGTCAAGGGTGCCCTTATTCGTCGTGTGGTAATAAAAGAGAAAACAACAGTAGGTCTTTTTATGCATCACACGTCAGGCAGCTTCAGGGAATAGAGTGCATCTCCAAACTTGCTGTAAGCGACAGCCTATCACAAAGCTCAGCTTGAAGAACCCTACAGTGTAGGGTCTTATGGTGTCCTATTGTATTATTCATAGCCTGATAATCAAAGTGGTGAAAGCCTGTATTGTTTCTAAGATACTTCTTACAGACAAATGCAACTCTGAAGTTGCTAACTGTTGTTGGCTTTTTAGATAAAGTGATAACGGAGTTGTTGCTAACACATTTCAATAACTGTGCTTGTTGAAAATAAGGAGTTCTGGGCACAATTGAAACCTGTAATAAAAGACTAATTACAAAACATAATCTACATTTTGATACTAACGTACAAATGTATTTAAAGCTGCAGCAACAGTAACTATACAAACATTAGGATCAACATAAGCCTGAGAAATTGACATCAAAAGTAAGAAGTAAAAACGTACCTTTTCATTTTTCACCTTCTTTAACGTCTTGCATTCACTATTACCATTTTCCACCTCCTCTGGTTCAGTTTTTGTGGTCAATGCTGGTACTATCCCAACAGGTTCAAGTGCAATATTCCCCATTTGATTGGCTTCTGCCAAGTCTGTTGATTGTGTGTTCTCAAAGGACGTATTACGACTATTCCCCAAAGCAACTTGGGCTTGAGACACAACATCCTTCTCTGCAGCAGCTATTGCCACGACTGGGGCTCCATCTGTTTTGTCCTTCTTACTTTTAGCCCCTTCTTTCTCTTTTTTACCACTCAGAACACCTCTGGAGGCTTTGCCCCCTTTTTCCATGTTCTTCCCAGAGGTGGAATTGTTGCCAGCAGCTCCTGCACTCGCTGCTGTGCCTGTTGGCTCCCCTTGAGTCCGTCCTGTAGTTTCTTTTTTGCCCCCATCTCCAGCTGAAGCTTTGCTACTATTGTCTTTAGAGTTCTTACTGCGCTTGTATTTGGATTTGCTTTCCTTGCCTTGAGAGCCAGACACTGGACTAACAAACCTGATGTTGTCAGGCAATGCTGCCACTGCACTGGGTGGTGCCGCCATGCCGTCCTTGGTGCCAGACATCTCAAGTTTGTCCTTCTCTAAGTCAGCGTCAAGGTCAATAATCAGATTTCCAACACCGATATCCCACTCATCCCCGCTGTCGTAAGTGTCCACCGCATTAGAGTCCACACCTTTCCCGCCTGCAGTGCCACCACTTAGGGACATTTTAGTGCCAACGGCCCAGGATTGCCTCAGTGAGGTCCGACACCCTCTCAGACGGTTGGGACTCAGGGGCAAGGGTTAGAGAATCCTCACGGTCTACTCGTTCCTGTCCCATTTATCCACATTTTGCCCTAGAAAAGAAAAAGAGAAAAGAGTTATATTAGTCCAATCATTCTGACATATAAATAAAAAGTACTACAGCTCTGCCATCACAGAACAGAGCTTTTCATTGGGTTCAAAACACCAAAAAAAATCGTCTGATCATGAGCCAGTAATTCTCTGGTGATCACTCCGCAAACCACTATGGTAATACCCACTGGTGTGACAGCACTGCTCCGAAACCCTCTCTTCATAATCACTTCCCACAGTCGTCATGGCAACCATGGGAAATGTAGCTTAAATCCTGCTTTGACAGCCAAGGTGGCCCCACTGTTCTGAATGACTGGTTCTCTTTTCACAAGGCACTGCTGATAGTGTCACTGCTGATAAATAAGGAGTAACTGGCCTCAGACACCCCCGCTCGGTTTATGGAGCCGTGCCTTTTCAACTCAAGAACACAATGGTAATCTTGCATTAACAGAGGGGCTTAAAAAACATGAATGAACCAGTGTGTGCTTCGGGAGGACAGCAGTTTGTTGTATTTGCTTACACAACATAGCCAAAAAGGTCACCGTGTTTCATATCTTTCAGCAAATAAATTCAAAGACAGATCCCCAGTTGTAATTTTAGGCTGCACATCAACAAAGATCTTGTTAACGGGTGTCTTACAAAATGGAAGTGCAATACATTGCTTGTTAAATTTTCACAATTTAGATGAACTATGTTCTCGGATTAACACGGGGTTTTATAAGACTATTTAGTTTCATCTAAACATTTGCTAATCTCTCTATGTAAAAATACGACAGTGATAGATTGAAACATGAACATCAGCTTGCTGTTGTTTGTGTGTTCAGTGGTTGTGAAAAAAAAGATCTCTTTAACATCTCTAATGTGTTATTTTAGTTATACGCTACATTCATATTATGCTGAGTAATTTTAAAATGTAAATCACACTGATATTTCCCTTGTGAATAACATGTTATTTAAAAACAGTTTGCCTTGTCAGCTGCATCACCATTACTGCTCTTCAGTACTCGCCTTCAGCATTGGCCAATTAGTTTGTCAATGTTAAATACCACAATCAATGGTGCTTGGAGTAGTAAAATTATTCTGGGAGGAAAAATGTTAATATTAATAAATGAATACATTTCACTGTATATCACAACTACTGTTAAAAGGCAACAGCCAATCCACTAGATAGAGTACTTGATACTCCTATCTGTTCTGGGAAGAAAATGTTTCAATGCACTAGTGTCTTAATTTAACCGCTCATAAGCTCCAAATAAACTGGCACTGACTTGACGATGAACTGGTCCCAGAAACACAAAATTTCCAGAAAAAAAACCACCACACGTAGCTAAATAATTAACACCTCTGAATTTCTCATACCCCCTTGTGATAAAGAACGTGACGGATAAAGAAACCTGAGCACAAAAGAGAGTACACAGTGCAGCCCCGCAAAGATCTTTATTTCTGATTAGTAGTCTTGGTGTGTTTGTTTTACGTTTCCCAGCTTGAGAAATAAATCCCACATTTTCTAGTGAAAAATTATTTAAAAAAATAAAACTTGTAGACTTTTACTGATAACTGTATCGATTTGGTGATTTTAGCCCAACTTTTTCAACATTACTTTATCTAAAAGTTCTCTAGTGGAAATCCTTGAATAGAACAACCACAAGCAACTCGAAACATTGTTTGTAACTTAAATAAAAATGTTTAGGATGAAGAAATTCCCACACTTTAAAGACAATGAATTGAATAAATGAACTGAAGAATTGATAAAAAACATTGGAACATGGATCATTCCTGTAGATTTTAAGTTAGCAAGTTGCTGAAGTGCTGCATATTTAACTCACTTATTACTTTTACTTAGATGTTAGACATGTAAAATTACAAACGCAGCAGAACGGCACGCCATTTAAACCACAAACTCTGAAATTATTACAAATTCACCTCACATCTCCAGACTATTAGCCTTATGTAAATACAGCTCATCTTGATGAGCTTATCGGGTCAAATCCTGAACCTTCTCCAATAAGTAACTGTGACATCATCCAAAGAGATTGTGTGGAGATATCAGCATATTTTCTGCTTCATTACTGTTGGTAGTACATTTAATATCTCTATAATGGAAGAGCTTAAAGAAATATTATACAGCCCTTTATGACACCGTGTACCAGACTCATTTCACGAGCCCCGTTTGATCTTCCTCAGGAAATAAAGCCTAAGAGATATAAAAACACAAACACTGCTCCTGTTTTAGTACAGATGCTGGTGCTCTAGTCTTTAAATGAATGCACCATCTACCATTACTCAGCTCTCATTAGCACAACGGTCCAAAATGGCAGCTGGATCACATAATGCACAGAGCTCATGTTGATTAAGTTAAGGGGCCATTCATATCACCCCCAGCAGTGGCAGAGGTAAAACTGTTGAACAATCATTTGATCACCGTGCCTGCTTATTCCGCCACAGATGGCTCCCCAAAGGAACAACAGTCAGTGGCAGGTTTTGGAGGGTTGTAGAGATGCAGCTGTCCCTGTTTGACTGGGTAAACAGTTGTGAGGTCTAATTTGTCCAACACCTCCACAAAAGAGAGGTTGTAACTCTATCGGCAGTTGACCTACTGTACTGCCCTTAGCTGGAACTGCAGAGCAAGCCCTTTTGAAAAAGCCCCACTGAGGAAATGTCCCAGCGAGTGCCCCGTTGAGCGAAAGGCATGCAGGCTGTGCAACTCCCAGAGTGCTTGTCCTTTTTTCACAGATCCAGTTTCATTCAGCAATCTATCAAAGAGGCCACATAAGCTGAACCGAACCGAAAAAAGACAGGGGGAAGGCGATTTCTGGTCGATTTGCTGTGGAACATGAATAAACCGGACCTGGCATACGGTAGTTCTCTGCAAGTGACTGTTAGGAATACCATCTGTGTATAAAATAGAAATCAGAGTATGAGGTTTGTCTATATTCTAGCACCAACTCTGTTCAGACACAGAGCGAAACACAGTACATTTAAGAAACGCTAAAACATCACTGTGTCCTTTCTAGCAACACAGATGCCAGTAATTCTCCAAAAAACATGGAATTCACCAAATATACATCTACAGCAAAAACAACAGCATGTGATGGATAACATATGTTTCCAGTGCTGTATGTCAGCAAGCAGAACAGGTAATTATAGTTTGAATTGCACAGATAAAAACAGCTTCTCAGCTCAGGCACAAATGAGATATGCCCTCAAATTAGGCATGTGTCGACACGAACATTTCGCAGTATGATTATCTGGGCCAGAACAATCTCAGTACATGATTTTATCTCAATAATTACTGAAGTAAGATGAAAATCTTCAAACAGTATTAAAACGTAGCTACTTTGATGACTAAAATCACTGTTTTATTCCATTCTACAACGGTTTTAAGGAGAGGACGGTTCCTTCTTTCATTCATTTAGAACAATAAATGTCATGAGCATTGGTTTTTGCCACGATAAATGTGCATTCACTAGCATGTCACTGGGCCCAGGCCTTTGCACGTTGTTGTTCTTGCTGTAATTACAATCGCAAAAACTTACACAATGCTATGATGTTTTTTATCTTTTATTGAGGTTTGTATGCAGCCATAATGATTAATGTCTCATCTCTGCTCCCAATACAAAAAATCTCATTAAGGGCTGAAAAATGCTTCTCCCCAAGTTACTTTAAATTGTCTTGCAGAGATTCAGATGGTTTGTCGCGGCTCACAGAGGAGCTTTTAAAAAAAACGCCTCCAAAATCTCAGCTACATGCTCTGCATAGCTGTGCCTCAGTGTATCAAACAAGCGCTGACTGGTTGAACAGTGAGGAACATCCAGGAGCACTGGGGTTGAGCAAACACCCCACACATACACAAATACATTAAACTAAATGGAAAAAGCAAAGGGATGGTTTGTTTATTTTCTGCCACTTTCATATATTTCTAAAGACAAATTAAGACAAATTAAGACAGATTCCTGAGCTGTTTTTAAATGTGTTTTTTTCTCTATACTAAATGATTGTTAATTAAAAGGAAAAACAAAATACTGAATATATAATCATGCCCACATAACTGCCCATAATCAGTTGGTTCACAATGTGTATAAAGAAGCTGTACGTGGTTACAAAATCCATCTGATATGCCTTCTGTATACAAGAATGCAAGAATATGCGAATGTTAGCAGATTAAAAAGCAACTGTGGCACCAACATATGCAGGAAAACATGAGTCTGGCAATGTGCATCATCTCTGCAGGTCATTTAGAGGCAGGTTCCCATCCACAGAGGCCCACAGTAACCTCCATGTAATTGGATTGAGTGCTTGAGCTGATTACGAAAATAGAAATGGACCCAGCCAATCCAGGTGATGGGAATCAGGAGTCTGTGGGTCAGCCAGCACCTTTATCAGTATAACATGTCATCGACAGGAACGCAAAGATCCCCAGCAAAGTGCGAATGCTCTGAGAACGCATGCATTACAAAGAGTCTCTACAGTTTATGAAAACACATGTATTCTTTATCTTTAGATCAAATTAATACATTATTAGAAACTAAATGAGGTCACTTTTGGTTGATACTCCTCAAAAGACACAAAAAGGTTTAGCTTGTCATGTTCCTGTTATTGCCGATGGGTATTTTCTTAGCCCTGACTGCAGCAGCTTTCTGCATCTCTCGGATTGGCAGCTGTATGACTCAAATCGACAGTAACCAAAGAAGTGTGAAATATGCAGATTGCTCTCTGGCTGATTAAGCTTTAATGTCCAGACTCTGGAGTGATGAAGCAAAAAACAAAGCTCTCACACCACACTGCCATCATTCTCCATGGTAGTTTTCCAGTACAGCGGGTAGGGTGGAGAAACAGAAATACAACAATCTGGCTTTTTCATTTGATTAAAAAAGGCGGCTGGTCGCCAGCAATTATCAGTATCTTGAATGCTTCACTCCCACATCAGGACTATCCACACTGAAGTGGATGAATCAGAGTGTTTTCAGGTCATTTAATTTGATTACAGTTCCTAAATGCTACC